TTTTTAATAAAAAAATATATAATTTTTTTTTTTTTTGACAAATTTGCAATAGTTTTGCACAATACTGTACATGTAAGTAAGAGGCAGAGAAAAGCTTATCACAAAAATTACGGTTCCTATTGTTCCTATACCATTTTTAATGCCCATGCGATGCAATCGACTCGTTTCTTATCTGCATTTACATAAATATGTACATACATAGGTATGTAATAAACAATAAATATTTTCTTAATGATGCAGCACTAAAGTAAAAGGCAGCAGCTTGAAAATGTTGTTAAATAAAAAGTTTAATGAATTATCTTTTTTTTGTAATTTTACTCAGAGTAATTGAGTGAACAATATGCTGGAAAAAGCATTAGTTGCCTATGTTTTATTTTTTACTTTATTTTCAATATTCAATTCCCCTTATTCCACTGCCATAATAACGATTGAATAAGTGCATATCAATTAACGCAATTCAATCGCTCCATATTTTTATTTTTCCAGCTTCTGTCCATGTCACATTTTTTTTTCCTTGATCACCTCTGCATAATAATACAAACATAAATGTTTAAATAAATGCATGCAAATGAAGAAAACCTTCAAAAATTAGCATAGAACTGCGACTTGATCTCGTTCGTCACGAATTTTCAGTTGCCAACGATGTGGCCGCACTGTTTATGTGCAACAATAAAACTGTTACGATTTCAATCGACTAATTTAATCGATTTTTCTTCTTTTTTCAACTCTAATAAAATAGTTTGGTTTATAGAAAAAAATAGAGCATATTTATGTACGTGTATGCTTAAATATAATTGTAAATAACAATAAAAAATATGTGATAACAAACAATTAAACAAGCATACATACATTTGTATATAAGTACATACAATTATGTACATCGATTGCAGTATTTGTTTTCATAAAGTTTGCATAGGAATAAATTTAACTCTGTTTGTATGCATATACATTTTTTTTTATTAAAATTACTAAGGCATTAGATATATTCATGTGTATTAAGGTGTACATAGCTGCTTGATTGATGGCCCAAAAGTGTTAATAATTAGCACAACTTATTAATACTGCGTGAGGTGTACGGAAACTGGGCGTAATTAAATAAGAAATCGTGTATACCGCTCAACGTCGAGGTTTTTGATTTGTGATTTATGAATTATTGATATTTCGTCAAAGGTGATAAAAATATAAGAATGGAATCAAAAGTTATAAAATATGTAAAAATTAATTTTATTGGGTTCATAACAATTAAAATAAATATCTATTTTCACAAATGCTTACACATATGTATTAAAAAAAAAAAAAATAACAAAAAAATATTTAATTTATTTTAAAAAAATATATAATTTATTTTAAAAAAATATTTAATTTATTTTAAAAAAATATTTAATTTATTTTCTAAAAACTCATTTAATTGAAAAATAAAATTTGAATAAAAAAAAACATAAAACATAATTTTAATAAACAAAAATAATATTTTAAATAACAAAATTATAACTAATATATATATATTTAATATTTAATTATTTTATTAATATAAATAAAATAAAAACCATAATTTATAATTCAAAAAAAAAGAACTCAAAAAATATAATTATATATAGAAATAATAATTTAATTAATTGGTAACGAACGAATTGACAGCACAAAAATTCATTTCGAAGTGATGGGACGTTTTAATCTATGTATGTATGAGTATGTTATGTTAAATTTATTAAATAATGTAATTGATTGTTTTTATGATTGTTGAAGACGGTTACCAAAAGTGTAGCCGATATATATCGGAACTAAAACAAGCTGATATTGTGTTTTTATTGACCTCGAACAAGCTTCAATTTAAAATAAAAAAAAAAAGTTCGGCAAATACCATCAAAATAAAAAGATTTTATTTATATATACAGAATGTAAATAAAATAAATAGAATTAAAAAATATATATGCAATTTAAAAAAAACACACATAATTTAATTAAAAAAATAAAACCTTTTTTTTAATAAAATAAATACAAGTAAAAATACAATTTAAATTAAAAACTCCATAATTTAGTTAAAAAAATTTAAATTTTAAGAGAGAATATAATGAAAACATTTAATTTAAATAAAATATTTGTGTGTAAACAAAAAAATTTTAATTTAAATAAAATATTTTAATTTAAAATACGATAAGTAAAATTAAAATAGAAAATATACAATTTAATTAAAAACGAATAATTTAAATAAAAAATATAATTTAAGTAATAAAAGCTATAAAATAATAAAAACTAAATAAAAGTTTTTATAAAAATATATAAAATAATATTTGTTATACAAAATTTTTAATAAAGAAAATAAAAAAATTCTATCTTAAATAATTAATAAATAAATAAAAAAAATAATAATTTAAATAAAAATATACAAACAATTTAAATTAAAAAAAAATTGCTTTTATTAAAAGCTAAAACAGCGGAACCAAATCTAACGTAACTGGCTGATATTTACATACATTATATTGAACGCTGAGCAGCTTGGAACGCAAGGTCGAATTTTCACAATAAATTCCTTAAGTCCCACAGATCGGTCAAAAACAGTACCTTTTTCAACATTTTGCTCTCCTCTATGGCGCTGCTACACACTACTACTTCACTTTGACAAAACTACTACTATTTCAAAATGAATGTTGGTCACACTGTTGCATAGTGTTGTTGCTTGCTTATGCGAATTCGTGACAGAAAGATGAAAAACACGGGAATTTTTTTTTTTTTGCAAAGTAAAAGCCAAAACAAAATCGTAACAACGCTGCAGAAAGCGTCGTTAGCTTTAACCTACTAATCACCAAAAAGAAAAAAAGGTTGACACCAGTCAGATCGGTAAAAAAAAAACAACAAATATATATATGTACATATATGAATATAAAAAACGATATGTATCTACAATTGTTCTAATATATAAATATCTAATAAGAAATATTAAATTACTTACCTGCTTAAAATTTACACAAAACATACATCTACATAACTACCATCCATACAATAAACATATTTATGTAACATTAAACTCATGATATGTGTATATATGTACACACATAGCTATGTGTATATGTACACATGTAAATGTCTCGCACCCACCATTGGATTCTCGTACAACCATGAGGTTTTACCCCCCACCCGGCTAAAGTACTGAGCGGCTAACAGCCCTAAGTAAATATGTATACAAATATGCATACTCGTACAATAGCAAGATATTCTGCTTACTCGCACTCCAATTGGAACTTGTCCGTATTGCGTATTTGCGTCCACATGGAGGCAGCGCTATGTTGTTGTGTAATCACAACTAGGGGAAGCCACACGGACGACAAGTGTAGAATGAGGATAGATTAACCAAAAACGGACAGTATATCAAAATGACAGATACGTTAAATGGCTATTTTTTTTTTAATTAAATTTATTTAAATATTATGTACAGATATTAGAGCACTTACCACTAGACAATGCCCTTTGAAACTCTTTTCCAATTATTCAATTCAATTTATTCACTGTATATCAGCATACACACACATATATATATATACGTATGTAAATATGAATGTTTATATAAATTTAGTTCTTTTCACTAATTAGTTTGTTTTTATAATCGTTGTAAGGCTGCACAAATGTCTTTTATATTAAATATTTCGGAAATAATGTAGAAAGTAAATGTTATTAATGCATTTCGTCTTTTAATTGTACACACACTTTTGTTCGCTGACTACTACTGCCTTTTCCACGAGGTGAAGAAAATTTAAAACAATTTTTGTCTATTTTGCGTGTTGCTACTTCTCGAGTATACCTCTGATGACAACGACAACACGACGCGTTTTAGCTTTTTAGCGCCGAATGTCGGTATTCGTGCGATACAAGCAAGCATACAACAAAAAATAATGCCAGAAATGCCAATAGCCCAACGCAGTCGACGTCACAGTCATGGCACGCTGCCGCTGTCGCTTCATGAGCCGTATGGTATAGGGTGAATATACATACATATGTAGTTAAAAATGTCTTTCTGTATATATGAGATAATCAAAAAAAAATGTCGAAAAAGTAACGGCGCATCAAATAATACATAATTATATGAAAGTCTCCATCATAGCCAGATTTATATGTACTAGAACGCAAGCTATAGAAGAGACGGCGTTGGCAGCGCCGTCAGCACTTGATTTCTTGACTTCGGTCGCTTTCTGTTTACTTTTTTTACGACAGCATTGAACAAAAACAAACAAAGATAACAACAACAACAACCCTACAGTGAAAAATGCCATAACAAACGCGTTGTGGTATGTTCAATAATATTTGTTTACGTCGTTTCAGTAGCTGTTCAATCGATGCTATTTCCGTTGTATTTCTGCTAAAAACATGTGACTGGCGATGTAAAGAGCAGTGTTGTATTTGTATTAGATTGACAGAGTGTTAAATATAATTTAATTTTAAAGAAAAAGAAAAGCTGACAGAAATCTTTTGAAAATATTATTTTAATATTTTCAACAGTTTTGTGATTTTACATATAGGAGTTGTATGTATAAGGATATTTTATTTAAGTCAAAGAACGTATATTAATATTAATATTAATATTATTAATATAAGTTCTTTGATGCTATTCTGTGAAGTCGTGGATTTCAATTCTAACCAGCCTAATATGCAAATCATATTCACCGCTATGCAGGAAATTCCACCTTTAATATATTAAATCATAGTCCAGTCCACTCCACTCTATAATGATGTACACATTTCAGCCAAGAAATAAAAATCCGTTCATTCCGAGATAGATATATATCTGGAAGAAATATGGAGCCATGTACCACAAATTAGAACAGTAGCTCAGCCTTAAGTATCTACACCTTTTTAACAATGCTCGGGCTCGTAGGAATTATTCTACGAATGCCAGCCAAATGAGAAACTTAATGCAATCAACCGTTTGTAAAGCATTATAAAATTAGTACGAAATCTACATCATCAGTGAAATTATACTACCAAATAAATAATTCAGTACAATTAAATCCAGCTTTTGTTTGACACAAAATCAATTTGTGCTGCATTGTATTTTTTTCGTTAAAAATTTGTATTACAAAAACAAGTTTACTCGGCATCCTCATCTTCGTCATCATTAGAGCTGATTCTGAAGTAACGAAGTTCATACGAGTCCTTATCATTAGATACAACACGGATCCAATCACGCAAACTGTTCTTCTTCAAGTAACGCTTGGTCAAATACTTCAAGTAGGCTTTGGAGAAGTGCACGTCAGAGTTGACGTACAATTTCATCTTCAAACGCTCGAAGGTCACATTGTTGCCAAGATTGTTCACTTTACCGTTAACCTTAAGGCGGGCCTTAATGTATTTTTCCTAAAGATTAAAAGTAGAAATTATAATATATTGACATATGTGGGAATATTTAAAGTTATTAGAAGCGTAGAGAGTGGTTGTCTCTTGCAGTGTTAAGCCACAAAACCAAACAAGTAATTTTGCGACCAAAAATAGCAGAGTGTGAATGTTTGTTTTACCACTGAGTACACTGCCTTCAGAGCGACTATGCCGAAGCTTCACTCTCTGACGACAAATCAGACGTGGCACAAACGCCTAAAAACTGGCATATGAACTACAAATAAATATTTACCTTTGTGCACCCTGCGTGCGATAAATAAACGTGTTAAGTTGCGACTAATGACGCTGCTGCAATTTAGCTTCCTGCGACTGGAAAAATGATCCGCTGAGAAGCCTGCAACGAGCGAAAACTCGACACGTATATGCAGGGCGCACTATGAGTTTTGGCCTATATACATGCGGATGCGTGTAAAACAGCCCGGGACCCACCACTAGGCGGTAGACATAGTACGACTTGGTACTGTTCACAGACGGTTGCACCACTGGCCAGACCAGGTTCTGACGATCAGAGGCTACCCCGTTGCGCAGCACCCAGAGTCCCTTTTCGAACAGCAACCCCTCAACCATGTTGAGGGAAGATTGTGGATCATTGTTTTTGATATGAGATTCGTGTAGAACCAGTTATCACAGACAACTATATAGCAGCAACATATTAAAGTGTATCCATAATTGTTAGGCCAATATGACTGGATACTAACCTAGGTCATAATAGCTTAATTGTTATGGAGATCACTGTACCACAATTAGAGCTATCACCGAAGTCGTTAAGTTGGAGCCTCAATGACGAATAAGTTGTGGTGAATACACGTTTACAAACTAATTTAGTAATACAATTTGATTTAACACTTTTCATCGATTTTCTCTGGACGTAAGCAACGTTAGTACTTACAAAATCGGCAACATCCATGATGTTGTCTTCAGCAATGTTTGTGCAGTCGATTCCAAAACGGAGCGACACCTTCTTCTTCTTCAGTCCCTTGCCACGCAATACGTTCTTCTTGGTTACTTTGCCAGAAGTAGCAGATGCAGCAGCAGCTGTCACAGACTTGCGTTGAGGCTTAGCGGCTTTGACAACTGGTGCTTTTGGTTTTTCTGCAGCGGGAGCAACTGCGGGTGCAGCAGCCTTAGCTGGTTCAACCTTCTTAGCCGAAGCGGCAGCAGCGGGCTTTGCAGCAGCAGGTGCTGCTTTCTTTGCATCCTTAGCTGGGGCAGCCTTGGCATCCTTCTTGGGAGCGGCAGCAGCTGGTGCAGCTTTTTTGGCATCTTTTGCTGGCGCTGGTTTAGCGGCAGCGGGTTTGGCAGCTGCCTTTACTTCTTTAGCAGCCTCTGGTGCCTTCTTAACATTTTTAGCGGCAGCTGCAGCAGGTTTAGTTTCAGCCTTTGGCTTTTCAACTTTGCCCTTGGCAGCGGCAGCTGGTGCAGCCTTCTTTTCGGCCGGCTTGGCGGTAGATTTATCACCTTTGTTAGTTTTAGCCTGAAATATAAAAAAAAAAAATTAGATTAATGCGATTTCATTCTTACAACATATAACCAATTCAGCAGTTGCTACATAACACTACTAAATCCAATCACTACAGAACGGATATTTAATCACACTTTTCTTTTAGCATCCTCGAAGTTTTTCGTTCAAATTTATTATTAACACAAAGCGAAACCTCTAATTCGCGTTACAATTACAATATTTCACATTTATACACACGTTTAGTATGATAAATTCATATTTTTAAAAGCACTTACAGCTGGTGCCATCTTTAACAGCAGGAGTCACGGAGAAAAAGAACTTTGTAGTTTGCTGTCAACCTTGGTGTTGCCAACGCCAATTAGAAATATTTCCCACTATATAGGAAAACAATGGTGCCATATGGCAGAAGATAAAAAATTCCCTCATTGTGTATTGGAAGAGTTGTATCAAAGAACGTATATTAACAAAGAACGTATATTAATATACGTTCTTTGATACAACTATTAAGATGTTCGTAGCGACATTGAAAATTTGTTTTTATAGCAATAAGCTATTAAGCTCTTGTATTATCTAAAGGTTCAAGATGGGAATAAAAACAACCGACTCCTTTTGAAGTCGAAGTTTGAAAACCGCAAAATATTACATGAATTGGTTTTCGAGAAATATTGTGAGAGTGACACTCCTTGGCCGGCTTAAGTCCGGGTCGGTTCGGAATAAAATCCTGACTCTCGTGGGAACTATTAGATTTTAGTCGCCGCTAATGACAGACAGGCCTTTCCATAGGTAAATTCTTGAGCCCCTAATCGGCAGGGGTTAAATAATGTTTCTGGTAGACAAATGAAGTGCTACGAGCAATTGGTTCAGCCCATCCATCACTCACCGGTATCAGCCAAAATCCTGCTGTCTAAGCGGATACACCAGGCTATGTTAAAACTCAAATGACAGAAATCAATTAGCCAGTGTCTAAAGTCATCCCATACCTGGAAAAGCTTTGAACTCCGATTCCAACAAGTTTTTTCCTGCATTATACACTTTTTGAAATACCAATCTTTGTAGTTATAGCAAAGAACGTATATTAATAAGAAGGGAAAAGAACTGTTACACACAGCCACGGAAATCTCGTTTTCACACTTAGTCCTAACGTAGTGTTTTATTAAAATTGAATATCATGTAAACTTTGCTTTATTTAAGACAGTATGAAAATTTGTGACAGAACGTCAGCTGTTTATAATGGGATAATTTACTTATTTATTTGTGCGAGTCAGATAACGTATATTATACGGTATGTTATACATTCTCTGGTGCGAGTAAACAAGCCATATTTTGAAGATATTCAAATGAAGAATTCCGGCGGAAAAGGCTGGGCTGCAGGCCTCATTTCGACTATACAAGATGCGAAAAACTATATAATTTCCTCGGAAGAAGCTGTAGTGATACATGATAAATATCCAAAGGCAAGACATCATTATCTCGTACTACCAAAAGCAGATATACCGGACATATTCCATGTAAGTTAACTCTTTTTAATGAAACCCATTACTTTTTGTTGCTTTACAGTTAGATTCAAGTCATTTAGTCCTATTGGAAGAATTATATTTGCTTGCACAAAATGTTATTGAAGTGAAACATGGTCATTTGGACGATTTTAAAATTGGCTTTCACGCGCAACCCAGCATGCAGCGTTTACATCTACATGTAATATCTAAGGATTTTGTATCCGATTGTCTGAAAACTAAAAAACACTGGGTTAGTTTTAATACAGAATTATTTTTATATTACCAGGGTAAGTGAAGGTCTTAATTGGAGATTTAAAATTTATTGCAATTGATTTTCGAAACAGATGCTTATGGGTTACTGAAATCTGGTGGATGTATCACACCACTTGGCAAGGAGAAGGTGCAGCAATTAAGTAATTGTGCGCTTAAATGCAACCAATGTGAATATGAAGCGAAAAGCGTGCCCGATTTGAAACGACACCTCCTCGAACATTGGACACAAAAACAGTGAACTACTTGCTGCTTATTGACATTTTACCATATTCTGATAAATAAATTATTAAATTACATTTTTAAATACTTAACATATTTATTAGTAATTTTAATGAAATTATTACAATTCTTCTTCTCTTATTTTAATGACGGCATTTTACACGCGAATACATTCAAAACATTTTTAACGGCTTTATAGACTTGGGGGAAATGGAAACAGTAATCTCGCAGAAAAATTTAGCTGAAAACAACTAGTGCATTCAAATGAACGTAGAATGTGAGAGGAAAATATTTGAAACGCGTGCTTTTTGACTTTGAACATAATGGTTTAGCTGCAAATAAGCTGAATAGTGTACAATACTATTTTCATCGCGCGCATTCCATATCATTTTCTTCTAAAGTTGTTTTTGTTGTTTTGTTAACCAGAAAGATCTCCATGATCGAATAGTGACTGATCATAGAGCTCGGCAACAACACGTCGTCCGCCGAAGAACCGTCCATGAAGCGCGTCACGTCCGCGTATAGCTTCAACAGCGCTTGAAAACTCTACAAATATTTTAACAATTATTTCGGCTTCCTCATCATCTTCGTTTTCCGTTTGTTTCTCATTGAAGATAATCACACGGCTAACCGTGCCAAATTTGGTGCATTCTTCTTGTATTTCTTCTTGCAACGTTTCGTCTACATCCTCTGGACCGACCATATTACGTAGTATGATTACACGTGACTCTTGTGGTCGCATTAGCCGCTGCATGACCAGTTGCCGTGCGCTCTGACCCTTGATCGACATGTTCTCCTGCTGCTGGAGCGTCTGCGTTTCACCCTCATCCATTAACTTCTTTTGTAATTCCTCCTGCTGTGCCTTCTCATGTGCCTTTTTCAACTGCTCCGAATTGGCTGATTGTAAATTATGCATCGCTGCTACATTATTCGCAGCGGCAACTGCGGCTGCCGCATTCGCACTGACAGAAGCAGCTGCTGCAGCCGCTGCACTAGCGATAGCATCGGCACTCAACACCGGATTAATACCGGTAGCGCTAAGATTAGCGACTGCAGCCATTGTTGGGACACCCATAGTAGGAGTTGCTAGTAGTGCAGCTTGTGTGACAATAGCCGGTGCAGCGGCGGTGGTGACACTTGGTACGCCGGGTGCGGCACCCAAAAGATTCGGTGCTAGAGCAGCTGGCGCTTGGAAGACACCAGCAGGTAGGAATGCTGCGGTAGCACCCGTAGTAGCAGGTACTGCAAGGCCTGGTGGATGCAAAGCGCCAGCGGAAGATATTGGCAGAGCACCCACTTTAGCGACGGCAGCCAACGGGGAGATGCCCAGCGCGGGAGTATTTGCGGAAAGGCCAAGCACGGCGTTGCTGGCGACAGCGTCAAGCGCCTGTATCTTAGCGGTAGCAGCAGCTGCAGCCACGGCAGCGGCTGTAGGCATTGTTGAATTGGTTGAGGCGCATACCAAAGCATTCGGTGGTGTGATTGAGCGACCCACTCTATAAAAACGTAATAAAAAAGAAATTAGAAAAAGAAGGAAAAAGATATTACTAATTTTTATACCTTAATAATTGACCGCCTAAATCGAACAGATTCATGCTAGCTATAGCTTCATCCATTGCCTGTTTGTTGGCATACTCAATGAAACCGTATCCCTTGTGTGTATGCAGAGATGTGCCCTGTGCCAATTTGCAATACAATATCGGGCCAAATGCTTCAAAAACACTTTTGATATCTTCTTCGGAAAGATCCGGATGTATGGATGCCACATATATGCGATTGAAACTTTTCGCTTCCTCTTGAATCTCATCAATCACTTGTTGTGCTTGTGGCATATTGCTGGGACGACCTACTTTAATATTACGTCCGCCCATTAGTGCGCCATTCATTTGCTCCAAAGCCAATTGTGCGCCTTCAGGTATTTCATATTCAACAAAAGCGAAACCTTTGTGCTTCTGGGTAATGGGATCCCACGACATGTTGATAGATTTTATAGGACCAAAAGGTAGAAAAGCGGCTCGTATAGTATCCTCCTTCAGCTCAAACGAAATGCTGCCTACATATACCCTGTTAAGTATATATATATATATATGTATATTTATGCGTTAAAAAATATTAAAATTAAGAAATCTTTAAAAGAAAATAGTAAATACTCAGATCTTATCAGCTTTTATACGGTAGGCACATATGATACTTTTAATGCCGCCAACACTCATTAACTCGAGTCAATTGTCAGCGCATTCATATACCAATTCACCAAGCAAACGCTTGCACCAGAATTAACATCAATGTTACATTACTTTTATACGTTTGCGCTTTAATAAATACCAGACAAATCTTACCTGCACATAAGAGCGAGCGCCTGCTGTCGTTGCACCTGTGTACGTTGTGATGCCAATTGCTATAAAGCAAACAACAAATGATTAGTAAAATAGTATTAAACCACTTTCAAGCCAATACTAACCTGTTGCTGATGCGCCAATGTCTGTTTCATTAATACCATTTTAATACTTTGCTCCATGGCATATTTCTTAGCCTTACTGACGGTGTCATGTTGATCTGAGCTGAGTTTTGGCAGAGCACCACCCAAAAGACCAAGCAATGCGGAACGTGTACCAGGACCGAATTTAACATCGCCCGTTTGTTTCAAATCGTAAATTGGCTGCGAAATGTATGGAATTTTCGGTTCCGAAGACTTACCTAGAATATTAGGAATATTAATTAAATAGATGCACAAATAAATTTATCCAACAAATCGTTTGTTGGTTGGTGTGTAGAACAACAGCAAATGTGTTCCTGTTATGCTGTTGTAAGGATTTTTGTGAAGGGGTGAAAGCGCGCAGAATACATTTCATTTCATATTTTCTTTTGTGGTTGAAAAATCACAAGAGTCATTCAATCGATCGTACGTACAGTTAATTTCTATTTGAAGATATTATATGCGCCAATAAATGAGTGTACAAATATATTGTTAAATTACTAAGGTTGGTTAGATTGAGGTGGCTGTGACTAGGAAGATAACAAATAGACATACAATATTTAAGACAAGTCCATAGTGGTGCCACAAATCTAACATTTTTTAAGTTTGAAAAACTATTAAAATTTTATTAACAAAATCGTGCTGACTAGCAAACTTAAAATTATCTCGCTGACAGATTGAATCTGAAAATGTTTGAAGTAAATGTCAGTGGTGCAGACCGATTTAATATATCGTTTCTGTTGCTGTATATAAAATGCAAAAATAATTACGTATGAAATCTGAATTTTTGTTGAAATTTATTATTTATGAAATCTGTTGCAATAAAGGCCAGTAAGTAACGGACATTTGTATGAAGAGCAACAACAAAATATATATAATCATGACGTAATATTTTCTTGCCAGGTTACAGAGCGCCAAATTTATGTAAATATATATATGTGTAATAAAATTATTCTCTAACAATTATTTAATATATCTTTTGTCAATATTTAGTATTTATATACACCGCGATAGCTATTTTTCTACATATAATTAACATTATTCACAAATGGTTTTACTGTGTAAAAAATATACACAATTACAGCCATTTCCCCATTAATTCAAAAGGGAAATTTTTCCAATATCGCTTTTTAACCTTTTATAGCGTACAACACTCACTTTTTGGCACACATATCTTTTGATTTGCAAATGTTTTATATATTTTGTATGGAAATAAAAGATAATTCGACGCCTGCAAGAAAGATAAAGACAAAAAGAAAAAACATTAATAAACAACAAGACGTTTTTATGTTTCCTATACGTAAAAAATTCTTCTCTGTGTACGCACGCGTGCCCGCGCAACTGCCTTTTACCGAGCGTGGTGCGTTCGTTGTGCGAGATAGATTTCAAGTTTCACTTTCGCTGCAACTTTCGTAACAACAATTAGTTTTTTTTCGTTGTTGTTAATATTTTTTGGTATAAAAAATCTTTGTGGATTTTCGTAATTGTATAACGACGTCGCATCGCACGGAAACAGGTGGTAACTTTTTTTTTTACTTTACTCGATTTGCATACTCGTTTTGACATTTTAGTCAAAATGTTTATAATTATTATTGTATCTCACACGCATTCATTTCACATTTTAAACATCAATAAATGTTTTTTCTTATTATTGCTCTGTTGTTGTACCCAGCTATTTAGTATAACTTACAATTATCAGGCTAGTAGTAGCAGTATTTGATTTGTTTAACGCATACTTTTCATACACGTATGTTGCACGCGTTAAATTACTATTTTTGTCGACTTAATACATTTCATTCATTGTATGGTCATTGTATTTTTGGTATATTTTTGAGAAAAGCTGCAAAATGTAAGAATGAAAGAAAAAAAGCACCCAAACATTAAAAAAATTAAAATAAAATACGTAGTAAGTCTGAGTAAATCCAAAATACGTGAACAAATTGATTTTTTTTTTTTTTTTTTTTTTAAATAACACTATATGAAACATGTAATAAGAAAGATGCACGGAACGGGGATTTACATAAACATATCCATTTTAAGCCTATGCATTAAACCTGAAGGCATGGATTTGCGCGCTTTCTTTGCAATGACACTCTCGATGAAACATAAAAAGCTGATGAAACTTGATGGACACATACAAAACATAAAAGCACAAAAATAAAAAATGTTAAAGCAAATAAAAAATGATATTTCTAGTGGTAAAGTTTAAATTTTATAAACTATGCTGCGCATGTCAAGTTAAATTGTGATAGGCATCGGACAAATGGACCTAGTAATGTTTAAAATAATAAAGTAGACATTTAAAAATTATATGCTTTGATGTAGCTTATAAAATATAGTTTATTATTCCTATTTTTCCAGTTTTTTTATGTTTAACAAGCTTTTTCAATTCACTTATCTTCGTCTTTTATTCATGCATTCTTGAATACCATCTGTATTTTTTTCTTTATTCACATGCTTGTAAATCCCCTTTCCGCCATCCGTATAGTTAACTAGTACAGAAATATAGAAATAGAATTAATGAAGCGACCTTATTATTTCATCTCAAAAATCTGTTTTGCCCTCTCCAACATTTGGTGATGCAAGCGCAATTGGCTTAAACGGTTTAATTGGACACGTTTTTTTTTTACATTTTCACTGTGAGGAGTGGGTGTGTGGTTTTGAATCACTTCAAGGACACGTTTAATAAAAGAGAAAAAAATAAAAAAGAAATAAAATCCGCTGAAAAGATAATAAGAGAGCAACAGTGAAAAAAATTAAGGAATTTCGTGATATTTTGAATCTAATTTTTTTCATGTAGAATTATATATTTTTTATGTAAAGTGCTGTCTTGATGCAAAGAAATTTTTTTAATATTTAAGAAATACTATTTAGGTTTATATCTTTCCAATTTTGACCAATTTTAAATTTAGTATTCCTTACCAATGGGAATTATATAGTGGGAATGTAAAACTTTAGTCTTTAAAGATATTGCTGAATGTCGAAAAGGTCGAACAAGTACAAAAAAATTGTAGTTTTTTATAATACTTTTCTTGGTTCGAACAGTTCTAGTACTAATTTCACATATTTCCTCCTCGCAAGTATTATTGAATAAACTTTATTTTTTTTAATAAATATAATTTATTTATATATTCAATTTTTTTGCTCTTTGTCATCTTTTCTTACATATATGTATAATAACTTCTATTACTGATATGAATTTGAAGTTGAATACAGGCTAATCAAAATAGTAAGAAAAAGGCATGATGAAATGGTTGTGATTTGCAGTTTGTAGGCGAACGGCATCTGTACCGGTAAGCAGACTCACGAGGCACAGAAATTTTAACTAAAAAAAAACGGTAACAAAAAAAAAGAAATAAATATAAAAAAGAGAAGAGAGAATCAAAATGCGTCATTAGTTTGAAAGCTACAGCAACATTACAACAAACATACATTCAATGATGGGCAAGAATTGCTAGTCAGTAGTCAATTATCGCCCAATATAGCCCATCTTTACGTTCTCTAGGTAAGGCACATCATTCAAATCCTTATGTGTTTATTTACATATGAAATATTTGATATTCTTTTGACGTTCATCTAGTCTCTAGAATAATTTCCAGCAGTTGACTTTCAATTTTCAATATCACTCTGTTGTATGCTTTCATTTATAATAACCAAATATCGATTGGCACTTATTTTCATTTTTATTATAACTCCGTTAACCTTGTTTAGCATTTTTTCAAATATTAGTTGTTTTTATTAAACTTAAACTTGCAGTCTTTTCATACATATGTAGGAATGTATATATATACGTTTTTTATTTAATTTTTTTTTTTATTTAAATAGGCTCTAGCTTACACGGCAAGCAGAAGAAGAAGAGCAAGTCTCACCTGACCCTGCGTTCATCACATGTGTTAATGGTCTGCAATTACTTAAGCAGAACAGAAAAGAACAAAACCGATTATTTAGTTAAAATCATTTGATGGCTGAAGGGGATGTGTGAAAGTATGTAATTAGAAGCACTAAAAAATTCGGTCAATTTAAGCTAGGGGACGTTGCGGTTTATATTAATATGGGTGAGTTTTACGTTTCGTTTAGGTTTTTTTACCTAAATAGTTTCATATCCACATGTAAAACGCTGCTGATAAAATAATATGTAATAATCAATATAATAAACACAAGCATTTACGTACATACATACTGGAAAACATTTTTTGTTTGTTTAAAATGGTAAAAATCAAGCAAACTGTGACGTACTATACCCTCGAGGCAATTTCGCAACGCACAAACGTATACACATTTGTATTTATCAATTAACTTTTTTTGTTCCATTTATTATGGGTTTATAAATAAAATATATAATATACTAAATGCATACATATTTATGTAAATAAATTCTTAATACACTTACCCGAGTCGGAGCGAGATTTCTTTGAAGGAATCATACCGTCATTTAATGGATCATCTGAACGTGACTCTGAAGATCGCGATTCTCGTTCATTGGAACCCTGAAATTAAGTTAGTTATTCAAAAAATCTATAGTACACGCAACAAGATTTAATGAAAAGGGATATATACTCGTAATGCCATTTCAACTAAATGACAAAGTAAATAAGTGTACATTCAGTTAAACCACATCAAGGTTAAATCTACATTTCACTATGTGCTTATTTAGAATGTATAGGCAAATTACCCGGCACGCATCATGGTGGTTGTGAATTGTTCACTACCGCAGCTTTGTAAGCTGCATGCATAAAAACTTTTGGTATACACACAAAAATTCATATCGCAAAAATTAGAAAACCTTTACAATATTTTTTGATTTATTTGGTCGGTCGTTTTTACTAGATTCAAAAAGACATATTTTTTATTTAAACTTGATCTATCGAAAACACATAAAATACTTTCTGCAAAATTAGTTTTGTTACCAATTTCACGCCATTTTTGACGCCGACGTTAGCAGCAGCCAACTAGAGCAAGTTCCTTCCAATATTGTTAACTTACCATACTATAGTAAATAATAATCAAACTATTGGTTGCTGTACGTTTTCTCCGTCAAAGTTGTTTAAAATTTGGTAATTATTTTGCTATTTTTCTAAATATATTTTAATAAAATCTTTAGAAATCTGCAGCAGTTATAGAATGGTATGCGAGTACAGCAAAAAATTTCGTTATAAACAGCGAGTAAAAGCTATGCTGTCGGACTGTTTAGTTCGTTGCTTACGTATTGGTGGATTTTGCAAAAAATGAGATATTTTTGAGAAACAATAACATAAGATGGACCCTAATTATTGTTAAAAAATATTTGCCAAAACTAAGAGAAATAAGAAAACTATTATTTATAATCAACAAATGAAGATAAATATTGTATACGAGCTTAAAAAGTTCATTGGAAAATTATATGAAGATATTTTATAAAAAAGTTATTAATTATTAACTTGAAATTTGGTGACACCTTCTCTAACGCTAAACTTCTGTATTTATAAAAATGATTTACATAACTAAATTAAAGACATGTTATAGGTTGATAAATTATTTATTGAAGAACTCATTAAGGTTGACTAGCTGAACAATATCATTTTTTTTTTTAACAAATAAAAGAAACAACTTTAAATTTTCAAATTAAAAATAGCTAAAGCAATGAGTATTACAATGAAAATATTCGAGTTAAAATTTACAACAATAACAATGAAATTCATGTACTACCACAATTTAAGGTAAACGATTTAAAATACGATTCTACATAAAATATTTGTCCAAATTACTATTTCATGGCATACGTTTTCTTGTTTTTTTTATTTCTTCGAATAATTCCTGTGTACATCCGATTTGATGTTGTAGACTAGATCCAAAAGATCTGTTATTAGGAATTCCTTACGATTTTCCACAGCTTTTTTTAATTCTTCCATTTTATTTTGAGTATCCATCTCAATTTTTAAAGCAACACCCTCTCGTGATCCCATGTACTATAAATGTAATACGTATTACTTATAAAGTTTCAATATGATATTTCCTACGGGGTCTGTACCTTTGCTTCATATTCCTTCAATATACGTTCGCGCTCTTCACGGTATTTCTCGATCTCCTCAACCGCCTCATCTTTCGCTTGTTTCAATCGCTTTGCTTTGCCTAGACATATCCCGAATTATAAATATTTTCTAATTATGACCTCAAATGCTTAATAAGTACATCCGCCTGCGTCGGCAACGAGGTAGGAGCGTTAAAATTACTTACGTTTCCTGGCTTCTGTAACTTTTTCTGCTGCTTTTTTCTCAGCCGCAAGAAGTTGCTGAATACCAGTAGACTGACTTGTCATATTCCTTTGAATTTATTCGCAAAAAACAAACCTAGTTTTCGAAAATTTCACAAATTAATTGCCACAATGAAAATAAATATTTGTGTTAATTGACAGCTGATTATTGCACGGAACGAATTTGTCTGCTTAAATATGTGTATTACAGCACTGATCGAGTGCGCAGAGTTGATTTTATTGCTCCGATAACGATGATCCCATGAGTAGATTGACAAAGATTTCAAATTATTATTTTACTGAATTTACATTATTTGACGATTTTTCAGCAAAAATGTATACATATTCGTTTTTTCCAACGGCCTCAACATACATGACAATATATAAAATTTACTAAACCTTGCGTTAAACCTCTAATGCACCCATGGAAAATTTTATCATGTTTTCACAGTAGATGTCACCTTTAAACTATGTTTTATAGCTTTTTGTCGACCATTTCAGCCAGCGACATTTTGTGTTGAAAACTCAACGAATAAAGAGTAAATTAACTTACAATCGGCTACTCTTCATATAGAAGTTGTGAAAATCAAGTGAAACTTAAAACGCAGCAAATACAGATTTTATTCCTTTAAATTTAAAATGAAGTTCCAATACAAGGAAGATCACCCATTTGAAAAGCGTCGTGCTGAGGGTGACAAAATCCGCAGAAAATACCCAGACCGTGTACCAGTAAGTAATGAAGAAAAAAAAAAAACTCGTAATGAAAAATTTATAGAAGAATACATAAAAATATGTTTATATGGAAGTTTTAGTAGAAGTGCATAGATCTAAAAAATTTTCTTTGTTACGAAAATAGCTAGGTGTGGGGGGTGACAGGCAAAAGCATTTTTTTCTTCTAAATTGCGTCATAGAAAACAAATTGTTAAAAAACGCTTGTCGTGCTTACATATATACCAGCTAAATGTTTAGATGTGAATAAGTATATTTTGTGCTCTCTTTTACTTATATTTTAACATTGTTTCAAGAAAAGTGCATATATATATTTTCGACAATGATTTGTATATATGGAGATGTGTTTTTGTTTTTCATTTCGGATGACTGTTTTATTTATCGACAGTATTGCCAACGGAATCTTAGATTGGAAAAAAAGCAAAGGACGATATTATACGACAGTACAGTACAGTTAATATGTATGGATGTATATCTAGTAGATATTTAGGTAATGTCTTATGAAGGGAACTATAGTTGGTTAGGGGAGATACATATCTACTTATGTATGTATATGAAAAGAATTGTAAAAATTTATAAAACAACTGACTATTATCCGTACTATTCGTCAAGGTCATTTTAATACCATAGGAAGATTGAGAATAAGAGAATGATTAAAAGGTTAATGGCATCGGAAAGATTTCATAATTAAAAAACTCAGAATTGTTTTAATTTTTCAGCTGTTTTTGTTATTTACATATGCAAAAAAAATCAATCAAACAAGTAATGCTGAAAAAACAACTCGAAAATACACTAATACATAGCGTAAATGCAAACGTCTTCCCTTTCGTTGTTTCTCTAAAAGACGAATTGTTTATTCAGCTCGTAGACAAAGTTTCGTATAATACATATATGTACATATATATATATATACTGGTCTGTTTATAAATATGTGTGAATATGTATTTAATTTTTGTCTTGTATTTTATTTCTACCTGTTTAGCCTTACTGCGCATATAGATTTGTCAATATACTAATGTTTCGCTGTTTTTGTATTTTCACGTTTTCCTTCATGCGCTCATATCCATACATACGTGAATGTATTAGTATTATATTATATGTACATTTGTGTTATTGTCAATAACTTTTTGCTCATATTGTTGCATTCGGTTATATGTTTTTTTTTTTATGGACATGAACACTGATATCGAGGAGTATCTCACAAATGATTTTTTCGTTGGATACTTCTTTCATTATTAAAAATGATTTTCATATTTGTTATAAATATCAGAAATGTTTTTCAACATATACATATACATAATAAGCTATCAATTAGATTTGATTGACGTGGTCAGTTTTGCATTTCTTCAAAATTTCCCATTTCGAAGAATTTGTTTCTATTCTACTAAAGTTTTTACATGTTACATAGTTATTGTAAAAGTATTTGTGCATATTTAAGTGAATTTTCCATTAACTAGTATCCATTTTATACCATGAACAATGAAATCAGCATATAGGAAAAGCAACCATCGTTTCAAAACATGTGGTGCACACATTTCCTATTTCTAAGAAGTTCCATTATCTTTTGTAGTCAAATCGGGTTGTCTACTTGTTCTTTTTCCTATTATCCATCTCTAAAGCCGGTTTTTCTAAAAGAAGCCAACGTGTGAAATATGCAGGTAGCAAGTGGCTTTTCATTTGGCAAATAGTCTGGATGCATTATCTTCTATTAGTTTGACATAGACGCACATACGTAGGCATATATTCATACTTATATACACATTCAAAAGAACCTTAACGTTGAAAGCAGTTGACGCCTACTATATTTGTAGATGTCAATGCATAAGTATATTATATATTTGGTATACACACCGACCTTTGATAAATAATCATCCATACTGTTTAATGCCTATTTTCAGTATTCTCAGCTTTCTCATGTCAGCACATATTATTGTTTTTTTTTCATTAGTTTGGGATTCACTATCTTCTTATTCCTTAAAGAGGCTTGACTGATAACACACATAAATATGTATTAGTTTACTTTCATACGACTGGGGAAATAGTTATAAATACATACGTATATATATATAAATATATATATATATACTATGTATATATAAATATATATATATACTATATATATATAAATATATATATATATACTATATATATATAAATATATATATGCTACATACTTTGAATTTGTTTACGCTCATATTTGAATTTAGTTATTTATATTATCAATTCCCTATATTACAGGTCATTGTGGAGAAGGCACCAAAGGCACGTATTGGCGATTTAGATAAGAAAAAATATTTGGTACCATCTGATTTAACAGTTGGCCAATTCTATTTCTTAATTCGCAAACGTATCCACTTGCGTCCGGAAGATGCACTTTTCTTCTTTGTCAACAATGTAATTCCACCAACATCGGCAACAATGGGCTCTCTGTATCAGGTAAATAAGTGCATTGATTTTGGTGTATTTTTTGAAATAAATTATGATTATAAATTTTAGGAACACCATGAGGAAGATTATTTCCTTTACATTGCCTACTCCGATGAGAATGTTTATGGCAAAAATTAGAGCGCATTTACAATAAGGGGGAAGGAAGGTACGTTTTATGGCAAGTTTCATATATTCAGCGGTGAAGTTGCTGTGTTACGTTGAAAATTAATTAGCAAAGATGAAATTTAAATACGTTATAAAAAAAATACGATTTGGATACTTTCTGCTGTATGAAGAAAATTTTTGCATAAACCGTTGGCGTGATGGATTTAGATGAAAATAATTGTCAGCAGGAAATTCAATAAAAGAATATATCAAATTTATTTCGATTACAAAATGATCTTAACTATATAAATGATACCTACATATTTAAATATAATATATATACGATAAAAAAATATTATGTATGTATATGTAATACTTTACGTAGATATAAATATTAGTATGTATACAATATTTTAACCGATTAAATTTATGTTTTTACGGTATTATTTTGTCTACTACTTTTAATTTTGGGTTTGCTATTTTTGGCAAATTTTTTCTTGTACCTAAACATTTCTTTGATGAAAATCATTTATTCTCTTCCTATATTAAAAAATAATTTTCATATTTCCATATACAAATTTGGCCTTGTTAAAAAAGGATAAATCGATTTATTATTTTTTTTGTTCACTAAAATAAGTTTTTCAGTTTCTAAATAAATGAAAGTCGTGATTATGATATTTCTCAACCAATTTTTGTTTGTTTAATTTGTATATTAATTATGTAAATTTGTATGTACATATGATGCTGGATTTAAAAAAGGGTTGAAATCATCTTTGTATTGATGTTTCCAAATTTGAAACACATACAAAAGTCTTACGGTTACGTTTTTTCCTCAACAGTTCCTATCGAAGACTCTCATAAGTGACATTATGTTGGTTATGTTTAATACCGTTGAATCAGGGTTTTAAATTTTCTTTAAGCATATACAAAATTATTTATTGGAAAGAGTTGGAATTTGTCTTAAATACAGTTATTACCCAGCAGCTTCTCTTGAATGCTCTCACAAGTTGGTTCGATAAACATTTTTTGGTATTCTTGGGGTGCAAAAACTATTTAGGACACTTATGGAATAAAGCAAAAGCTTTTACTCAACGCTTATATTCGGTATCGTATTAAACGAAGATATTTGATTCGACACAATCGTTGTCGGATTAGTACTGAAATCATGTTGTTACGCCTAAAACTATGCCTGACATTTCTAATTAAGCTTATTTTCTTATGAAATTGAGCGATCAAAATTAGGTTTTTGTTGCATAGTTTTAGGCATACACTTTCTTGACGCAATCAGCTTAACAATAAAAGCTGTTATCGAAGCGAAAAAGTTATTTTATAAAACGGTCTAAAACTGTAAGTCTCATCGCAAATAGTTTTTTTTTCTTACCGTTTACCGCTTTTTTTTAAATATATTTCATGTGTTTTTTCAATGTTCTTTCAGGCAGAGAAAACGTAAAAGTTTTGTACGCCCATGGCAACTCTACAACGCACAGCTGTTTGTCAAATCAACGTGTATTTGTCTTCTTCCTTTTGCTATAAATTCTTGTATTTTTCGACAGAAATTCGGAATATTTTAATTCGGAGTTCAATATATTGGCGATGTCAGTTGATGTAGAATTTTGCATTGGGTTGTGGTTTGTTTTTTTGATTCTTTACAGATATTGAAATCATTACAAAAGCTGTTCAAATGTAAAAATAATTAGTGATAATTGCTTGTCATATACAAAACAAAACTTATAGTTAAAAATTAGGTAATCAACGCTTCAAACTTTGCACGGAATTTTTTCTCAACAAAAAACAAAGGAGATACTAATTTTTTTAAAAGGCGGAAACAAGAAGAACCCAAAAGGTAAATGCCATGTCATGTGTTATGCTAGTGCTAATATGCAAAAATGGCTCAAAGGCCGATATTTGAATACGTGAGTTTGTTCATGCAAGGTTAGATAGATTGCCATTATATTATGGCATAAAGATTAATTGTATATCATTCAATATAGTTTGTTATTACGATTGAATACTGCAACGCGTGTCCATATAATAACGCCAAATGTACTAAGCTAGTGAGGGTGGAATTGATTTTCCCTAGCTCTAGTCCGAACTGCAGAAGTTAAGAATTTGGCTGTTTTGTAAGTCATCGATGAGGCATATCTACAATAAATTTTTATTGTACACGTTTCAATATACAACTCGTGCTGTAATTGATGCCGAAGTTACAAAGTAACGCTTTAATTTATAGATACATTGTTGGCAATTTAATTTATAGATACATTGTATGTATATATGCAGTCATATGCACATTTTTGCAGCCCTTAAAATGAATGTCTGACACTGCATCGTTCGAGTTGTATCGCTTGGTTGATATACTATATTTCCATTATGACTAAAGAAGTTGCTTTACACCTACAAGTATATACATATGTATGTACATACATCCATACATAAGTAAATAAACCGATCGTATTTTGTTTATGCCAATAGGTGGTTAAAAAGACCATTGTTTTTGGGTGACCTGTACATATAGTTGGGAAATTGCTAAGAAAGCAGTTTTTGGTATAGCAGTTAAAGGTAAAGTGTATGCATATCTTATGTGCTAGTGTAAAGGAGAAAAAGAAAAATATATGCATATAACTTTTACTTAAACAAATGTACATACATTTATATAGGCTGGTATCAATAAGAATTCATTGAATAGTTTCAAAAATTAGCATACGTACATTTGTACATATACTATATATATATTTCAAACATAGTTTTTTATTTCAAAACCACTTTTTCCTTGTGTGTTTTTATACATGCTTATTACAAAATACCTTTGACTTGATTTTTTCTGTACTACATACGAGTATGTGGTTTCGTTTTATTGGTGCGCCGGCATCGCGTGTTAGAGACATTTGTTTTGTATAAGTTTTGTTTATTCGATGCTTAGCACCATTAAGCAATCATTTTTCATACGCAAGTGTGTGATATTCATGATTTGTGGGTAATATTTGAAAACTAAATAAAGAAACCATAGGAAGGTATTTTTCATTTATTAGCATTTTTAGGGTAGTGTATATTGTACATACATATGCACTTACATAAATACATGAATTCATCTTGTTTAATCTGCTGTGTCGTATATTTCTACTCTTGCTTTGTTTAATTCGTTTATTTAATCAGAATGTAGGACATATAAATACGAGGGGATTAACAAAAGTTCGGTCAGTTGGTGACTTTCAGCTTTTTTTTTTATGTTAAATCTAAAAATACCAAATCCTTTGCAAATACGTTATTTTTCTTCCTTTTAAATTTGAGAACGATTGGCTAAAATGGAGACGAGAAAATTTAAGATAGCTGAGGATAGATCAGACGAAATTCCACCAGTAACGCAAACAGAGATTCGCCACTTGATACTCTTCGGGTTCCAGCATAATTTACAGCCAATACTAATATTCTGTGAATGCCAGATTGCATATGGAACGATTGCACCGTCTTTAAAGACTATTTCTAAGTGGTTCCGAAGATTCCAGACCGGACATTTTTCCGTAGAGGACAAGCCCCGAGAAGGTCGACCAAAAAAAGGAAAAGGCAAAGACGGTAATTGCAAAATGGTACACTGAAGAGTGTCTACCAAAAGTTTTAAAAAAATTGTTAGAAAAGAGCAAAAAAAAAGCATGATATGCGGCGTTTACATCATGACAACGCGACATACCACACTGCTGAAATAACGAGTAATTTTATTGCTTATTTCCAAAAATTAAAAAGAAAAGTTCTTTAAAAGCAACGAGAAGAGAATTAATGCGGTTATTGCTGAACTTGATAAGCTTAAAAAGCAAGATTTTGACTGTATTCAGAAGTGGATCTATGGGCTTAAGAAATACATTGAAATCAATGGCGATTATGTAGAGAAAATAAAAAAAGAAAAAGAATAAATACAAAAATACATTTTTTTGGTTCAACTTACAGAACTTTTGTTAATCCCCTCGTACATACATAGTTTTGTCGCATAGACGACAAGTGAACATCATGCTTAATCTACATATGTATGTATGTAATTCATTTTTTTGGCTACATGAGTAAAACAAAAAAAAAAAAAACATTTGCACAGGTATCTATGTATGTATAAACCAAAATCATTTCATTTACGTTTGCTCTTTTGAAAGGTAATTTTGAAATATTGCCAAAGTTCCGCAATTCCACCAGGTGCTTGGAACACCCACAAATGTGTATGGACGCTGTTAGTTGATTATTGAAAATCAAAATTATGGCATTAGCACAAAAATCACATTTATATATCACATTTATGTTTCTACATACATACATACATACGTGTTATGTTTCAATGAGTTTTGAAAAATTTTCGCCGATTCACCTTTTATTTAAATAAGAAATGTCACACAATTATATTATATTTTTCACAAAGTTTTGGTCATTCTAATAATTTATAATATTTTAACTTAATTCCGCTAGATGATGGTTACTTTAGTCGGATGCTATCGAGTTATTTGGAGATATATATATGTGTATATACTTGTGCAAATGTTTTATTGCTTTTATATTTATATATTAGGATTAATAAAAATTTTTGCTTTTGCATTGTCTTCTGATCTCAGCTCAATAACCTGTGAATTGTTAATTAATATTCAGTGATGGATGCGTGGGTCGTAAATAATTTAATTCTTTGGAAATAAATATGATTGTAGGTATATAGCGTTGACTTGTTGAAGCTGATACTAAGCACTATTAAACAACAACTAATAAGCAAGAAAAATAATACACACTTAGTGATAAGTTACAATAATAACAATATTAAAAAGGGGGGAAAAAAACAATTGACTTATCAGTGACGACGTTTTAGTTTTGTATGAGGGATTTTAATTCATTTAAATGTATGTATGTACATATGGGTATAATTGTTTTATGCTCTTTAAATATTTGGCTTTTTTTCTTTTGATATCTTATTCTTTAGTTTCTGCTTTTCTTGCTGAAAATACAAATTTAAATGACATAACAAATGAGACATGGAGTATCATATACGCATATGTACATTTGTTCTCTAAGAAAGTGTAGATTTGTAAATATAACACGTGCTTATACTCAAAATTTCTTGCTTGCCATACATATGTAATAAACGATTACTTTTACAAAGATGTGCATACATACAATGAAATTAGACTGTCCTAATCAAATTAATCTCGTTTTTATTTATTTTTTCCAGCTTACTGCTCTCTCTCTCCCTATTGTCGCATTCTTCTATTTCTAAGAATTAGTCTCACACAACAGCTTTTCGTTTGTGTTCTCTTGCTTTGCGCCCAAATAAGCACTTGTAGTCTAACAGTACTATCCACAATTTCTACGCAATCGTCCAAACAACGAACACCGAAAATTTTAAATGTCACAGCATTCGAAAAAAGATACGCCTACCAGCCGCAATCGTAAACAACAACAAACACAAAATGCAGACAGTGTAAAACAAAAGGTTAATGCACCAGGAGGTGGAGGTGGCAATCAATTAAGTGTTAATAAAAAATCGAATGGTGGCATACCTTGGTCCAGCAATGTCGCCGTTGGCACGCCAGCTGGCAGTTTGCTTACGTCAGCTGCAGCTGCACCGGCGCTCATACGAAAAAAGTCACAATCCAAGTTGCAAAAGGAGAAGGAACGTGCCGAACGTGAAACTCTGGTATTGTGGCGTCGTCCAGTGCAAACTGTGCGCTATTGTGGCCTGGAGTTAGTCGCCATTGCACAAACCTCGGGAAAGCGGTAAGCCGGCAAATGAATGAAGTGGTTACATTTTTAATTTATTGAATTTTAATTTTTTTCTTTACAGACTACTCCAACAACGTGGCTTACTCGCCATTATGTTAGTTTTAAGTATTATATTAGGTTTTCTTTGTTATCTACCTGGTCCACATCAGCTGATATTGGATGTTGTGCGACGTAATACATGGTTCTTTATCTATTGGACTGGTTTGGGTGTACTGTCGTCGGTTGGTTTGGGTACAGGCTTGCATACATTTTTGCTGTATTTGGGGCCGCACATTGCCAGTGTAACTCTTGCTGCTTATGAATGTAATTCGTTAAATTTTCCACGTCCACCATACCCCGATGAGTAAGTAAAATGCAAATATTGTCAATTTAAAATTTGGAATCTTAATCGTATAATAAATTATCGTTGTTTAGTATTATCTGCCCGGAGGAGCCATATGTAAAGAAGATGCCAAATCTGTGGATGATTATGAGTAAAGTGCGCATGGAAGCATTCCTTTGGGGCGCCGGCACTGCTTTGGGTGAATTGCCACCATATTTCATGGCAAAGGCAGCGCGTCTCTCTGGCTATGACCCTGACGATGCTGAGGAATTGGCTGAATTTGAGGCTTTGAAAGCTAAACGCAATCAAAAGAATTTGAGCTTAATGGATAAGGGTAAATTGTTTATGGAACGTGTGGTGGAACGTGTTGGCTTTTTGGGTATTTTGGCATGTGCGAGTGTAAGTGACATGATGAAAAGAATAATATAAATAGTTTAATTATCTATAAAATATATTTTATTTGCAGATACCCAATCCACTATTCGATTTGGCTGGCATCACATGCGGTCACTTTTTGGTGCCATTCTGGACTTTCTTCGGTGCTACGCTCATCGGCAAAGCCATTATTAAAATGCATATACAAAAAGTTTTCGTTATAATTGCTTTCAATGAAGCGTTAATTGAACGAGCTGTCGATATGCTTGGCAAAATGCCCATATTGGGCAAAAAGTTACAGGAACCCTTCAAGGGTTTCCTAAATAATCAGAAAAAACATTTGCATCGCGAACGGCAACCGGCAGCCGAGTCTGGTAACTTGCTGTCCAAGGTGTTTGAGATGTTCGTCATTGGCATGGTATGCTACTTTTTGATCTCGATTGTTAATTCCTTGGCGCAAAGCTATCATAAGCGAATCCATAAGAAGCATGTGAAAAAGGTGAAGAAAATAGTTGCTAAGGATTAGAAAATAATGAGCGAGTCAAATGTGGTCGGGATGGATCTGGCGTTCGGAGAAAGACAGCAAAAGTGCAATACCTAGAGAATGGCGCTTACGACTGATGTATTGGTATTGTATTAGAACAGCGGCAGGAGAGGATGAACTTATTTATATTCGAGTTAAATTGTCTACACACCTACAAATGTTGTGCTTAGATAAATTCCTAATTAAGTTAAGCAGAGAAGTTAACATGAATATGAAAAATTAAATAAAAGAAAAGAGCCATCAGCGCAAATCATTAATTAAAGAAAAGGGACAAAAGAGTTCAAGGTGCCGTTGGTGATTTAGTTAAATTATAAATTTTTGAAATGTGAATGTAATTTTGCATAAAATTTCACAAAAATCAAAGAGTTAAGTTTATTCTATGAACAGCGGAATTTGTGCAGCCTTAAGCTGATTGAATTATAAGAAACTAGTCCTAATTTGTATGTGTGTATGTACAAAAATATAGGAACATTTCAATTTATTTTACATTAAATTACGCATGTATGATATGTGAGTGTTTTTTTGAATGCATTAATTTTCGCGTAATAAAAAGGGGATGTAAGACAAATAGAAAATAATGTATTTAAAAAAGCCAGAATTAAATATGCAAAAAAAAATATAAATCATAATAAAAATAAGTAAGTAGTAATAAAAATAAATAAATAAAAAAAAAAATAAAAACAAATATAAACAAATATAAATAAATAAATATAAGTTAACAAACTAAAAAAATTAATAAATAAAAATTAAAATAAAAAAAATTAGTAAAAATAAATGGAAAAATAAAAAATAAAAATATTAATAAAAATATATAAAAAAATAATGAGAAAAATAAAAATAAATAAAAAACAATAATAAAATAATTAAAAAATAAAATAAACGAAAAATAAAAATATATAGATAAAAATAAATTAAAAAATAAAAATAATGATTAACATCAATTTCAAATAAAAATACGTATATAAATGAATAAGAAATATCTAAGAATTAGTCATAGTCGCGTTGCAGTTGTATTCTAGCATTAGTTGCGTGATAAATATTAATTAATTAATTAATTAATAAAATAAAATTAAATTAAAGCGAAGAGTAGGCGCTAAGTATTCGGCCAAAAGCAGACAGTAAAAATATCGAAAATCGCATTAATTAAATGCAAATCTGTTGCATTAAGCTAAAACACAAATACATACTCACACCCATACAAACAATTAAAGAGAAAACAAAGCCATTTGTAAAAGCGAAATAGCTACAGGATTTTCAAACGAAACTTGTAGTGCGCCAAATAAGGGTTTTACCAAAAATGTATGTGTAAAAAAATAAACAATGTGAAATATTTAACAAAATGAAAATCTAAATTGAATATTTGCATACAATAAAAAATATAATAAATTAGATTATAAATAAATTTTTGTTGTTTTATTTTTAAGAAGATTTGCGGTAAAATGGTCAAAATATTTATTTGTGTATTTTTCGGTTTTCAATTCAATAAAATTTTCAAGTTTGTTAATAATTTTGCCCTAAAATTTTTCTAAGTGTATCCCTTATACATATGTTCAATACATGTGCCCAAAAAGCTTTAGTAATGCTGTTTTTTTTTGCTTGCTGTTGTCTCGTGGGAGAATGTTTGTCGTACATAGACGCTTAGTCATAAATTGGCTGTCTAACTGCTGCTGCATTGAAACCCATATGGGTCTACATACAAAGCAAATCATGTATGCGTTGAAATATGAATTATGCAAAAATTGTGCAAAAACAGCGACATATAAAAGGATGTATAAAAAATTGTACGCACAATAATGGTGTAGCTGCTGGCGTACATATGTGCGATGGGAACTTTGGTAAGATAATCAACAGTATATACTAGTAAAAAGTGATGAGCTTATGGGACTAGTAAATCAAAGTATTTGCTGGCAACTAAGTACAAAGATAAATTATAGAAATATTTTTTTATATAAATCTTTTGAAATTTGTCTACATACTAGACACGGAGTAAAATCCCAAGCATATTCATTAAAAGATTTTATTGTAAAAAAAAAAATAACATAAAAATATAATATAAGAAATAATAAAATATAGAAAATATATAATAAATTGGGAAAAATTTTAAGCTCGTGCTTCGCACGGTGCCATTAAAAATGTATTATATATGATTTTCCCTAAAGAATTTTCAACTAAATTTTACTTAAGTCGCTAAATAGCGTACAAAATTCACCGCCCAGCTCACTTAAGTCATAATTAACGATGACTTTTAACATTATTTTATTTGGGGTTAGTTGTGGTGTGTCCATTGTTAGCAGCAGCATTTATTATTTTTTATTATTATTATTATGGAATTACTAATATATACATACATACATATATAAATGTGTGTGTTTGCTTGCAAAACCACCCTCTATTGTGAGTGAGGTGGCCGTCAAGCTCATACCACACAAAATTTGTCTACTTTGCATTGTGCATACATACATATGCATGAACATGTAATTGTTTTTGTAGACACCCCTTTATGACATACAGCTGGGATACAAGCTGTCGTAGCATTTATAAAGTGCCAAAGAGCCTTTAACAAGCCAAGCGTGGACGCATGATACCTTGAAATTACTTGTTGGTAAGTAGGGGGCTCGTATAATGTGGGCATATTCATAGTATTGATAAATATTCACCAACAACATCATTTTTCTGCGTTATAATTCGCTTAAAAGGTGATGTTGATGAAAAGGTGTTGAAATATTCAAAAACTATTATTGTATTTTATTTTATTATATATAAAATAAATATATTAATTTATTTTAATTTAAAATATAAAGATGGACTTTATTCTATTTAATTAAATTTTAATTAAATTTTAATTTTTTCATCTTTATTTTTATTTTTTTATATATAGATTTTGTTTTTGTGTTATTTAATTTCATTTATTTTTTGTCTAATTAATTATATTTATTTAATTTTTTATTATTTTCGCAATAGTGATTTCAATTTTTATTTTTTTTTTTCATTTCTAGTTAGTTTTAATTTTTTTTTTGATTATTTATTTGAGTAGGCGGCCGCGGCCTGATGTGATCAACATCCAAAAGTTATAGAAAAGTGATTTCAATCAAAGATTAAATTAAATTTTCTAATTGCTGTCGCCCTCGGCAGGGAATTGCAAGTCATCGAGTATATTTCTGTTATGACATAAAAGCTCCTCATTAAAAGCCATAAGCCGTCCGGAGGTTTTTGCTTCACTTTGTGTTATCTTATTTTACTTTACTTTATTTTATATGTTTCATTTTGTTTTATTTAATTTATTTTCTTTATTTTTCGATTTTACATTGTTTTATTTTATATTATTTTACATGTTTGTTTTATTTTATTTCGCTTTACTTTTTTATAAATTTTTTCGTGTTCTTCAAATTTTTTTTTTTTTTTTTTTTTTTTAAATTTTTTTTTTTTTTTTTTTAGAATTATTTTAGGTTATTTTATTTTATATTACATTATTTAATATTATTATTTTTTTTCATTTTACTTAATTTTAATTTATCATATGCATTTTACGTGGTTTTTTTTTGCTGTTTTACTAATTAATTAAATTTTATTTCATTCTATTCTTTATTTAATTTCCTTCATTTATTCTTGATTTGTCTTCTTTGTCTTGTTTTATTTTTAATTTGTTTAACTCCCTTTTTTATATATTTATTTATTCGTTTACTTAATTTTTATTTTATTTTATTTGCTTTAATTTTATAGTATTTTATTTATTTGCCAATTTTTTAAATTAAATCCAATAATATATTTTTCATTGAACAGTGAACACACCTTATCGTGTCAAATATTTTTTGATTTTTTCTTATCTGCCTCCTGTGAGCCGTTTTCGTTGCAGACACGAACGTGCTGTGCCCTCACGGCCGAACAACTAAGTCAGCCAACTCATTTGTTGGTGTATGCATGCGAACATGGCGACTTTGACTTGTGGGGTTGATAACGTGTACACACATATGCATATATACAAATACATATTTATCACAACGCAGTGGGGTTTTTGGCACTAAAAATGATAGTGTTTCATGAAGTGGAGTATTTGTTATTGTTGTTTCATTATTGTTATTATACATACATGTATATGTATATATGCATAATTTTTTTTTCGCTGCGTTCAAGTGCGTTCGACTGTGCAACAGGCGAGTATTTCGTCGGCTACAGCTCAGACATTGGCAGCACTCCAGACACCGATTGTTTGGTGAGACACACTCAGTATATTGCCGTCGATTGAAGAGGGCGTATCGCAGGCGCCAAAGTACGCAAACAAATATGAAAAAGTGTAAAAAAGCAAGAAAATCGGCAAAAGTAGATTAAAATATGTTGGTAAAATGATTAATTATTTGTGAATATTTTGCATACTTAATTTACATTCATAGTATTTGTATGTGTGAAAAGAAATAATATTTTGTTATGTGAGAGAAAAAAAATTGTTTTCCACAAGAAAATATAAATTCCAATTGTTATTATTATATTTGTATTAAAAACGCATAATTTTGTGCATTTCATATGTGAAAATATCCTGTTGGTATGCACCAGCTGTAATAGCGCCGAAAAGTATACAATAATTTAGTCTGTGCAAGTGTATATGCAAACATATAAAGTGTATGCATGTGCTTCTGTGTGCGTGTGTTGGCTTCGCGAGATAACCACTTGTGAATTTCGAAAATATTGTACATACTTACATACATGTACAAATCTATTTTCAAGGCGAATAGTGCAAAAAAAGAAAACAAAAAAAAACCAACAACTTACACAGCGCACAGTAAATACGTTAATAAAAATTTCTGGGAACTATCACAACAACTACAAGGAAAAGCAGAAAAATTGAAAGACATTGCACGCAACGGTACTCATACGCAGTGTAGTGTGCAACAACAACATCAAACAAAAAAAAACAGCGGAAGCAACATAAGCATTAGCATTGAAGGCGAGGTTTTCACTGACAACAGTTAACGGCAACAGTGACACATTGTGGCAACAACAATAACAACAGCTAGCAGCAAATTTCTTGTCTTCAGCAAGCACTAACAGCAGGCTGTCAGTTATTTACACTGCCGTCGCTATCTTCTTCATACGTATACACTCAAATACTTACATATATTGTATATTCTCACACTGCAGGAAATGGATTTTCAAAGCCACAATAACACGAGCGGAAATAAGTTTGTCTGTCCCAGCGACAGGCAACTGGCATTGAGAGCAAAGTAAATATATTTTGAATTAAGACATGCCGTTGTATTTATATGTGTAAATATATATTCACAACTTAATGCATATTAATTCGGTATAAATTAGTTTTAAAAGTCATGCATTGAGTACAGGTGATAATTATTTATGTATATTAATTGGTGGTGAAAACAATTAAGTAACCAAAAATAAGAAAGATAAGTATTATTTGTATAATGAAAGGGTAACCCAGCAAACAAAAAATATTCGTAATTTAGAAAAAAAAGAACTATCTAAGCTTTTAAACTGATTTTTGCGCCCACAAGACATTGTCTAATGAAACTTATTGACGGACTCTGGTAATTTCTCTGCGTTTAATTAGGTGGAATATTATTTGCCATTTTTTTAGCAGTTTGGTAATAAAAGGAGTACAATTTTATTTCGCTTTTAAAAAGCAAAGTTGACTATATATCATATCTATTCCCACTATTTAGTCTTTCTTTGCTTTGAAAATAATCTTAGTTTTTCAGGAAATTCCTTTTATTTGTTATAAAGCTTGAAACTTGGCATTCTATGTGAAACACTACATCAGCCAAAGAATCGTCTCGGGAATTTTTTCCAATTTCGAACCAATTGATGTAGTTTTCGATCTCTTTTCGGCACATATTGGGCGGTATCTCAGCCATAACTTGACGACTGTTGGTTTGCAAGAGCGCTCAAGAGTTAAACGTTTAGAAGCATAAGCACGGTCTTTCGCGTAAATCTCTGAAAAAAATTCCAAAGGTGTCAAATCGGATGATTTCGGTGACCAATTGACATTGCCAAGATGAGAGATTACGCGTCCACCTTTTTCGAGCAATTTAAGTTCACTTGGTTGTGTCGTTGTTAATTTTAGAAAAAACTGGTCAACATGGGAATTGGCTAGTGCTTTTTCACGTTAATTAAAATGTTAATTAAGCAGCGGGGCATATACTGAGAGATATATGCATATATGCATATATACATAGGTATATGTTTTAAGCTATCTATTATTTAACTGCTGATTTCAAAAGGCTTTTCTTTTCTAAAAGCGTCACATATGTACATATGAAGCTCTTAGTGGGGCGGTACGTATACGTAACAAAAATAATATTACTTGTATAATAAGATTAAATATTAAAAAAATCAGCTTGTTATAAAAGTTTAGTTAGGTGTAGGTGTTAACAGTACGTGCTACCCTGCGAAAGTCATGGGTTCGAAATACACTAATACGCACACCGCATCGCACATTGAAGGAAGACCCTGCCGGAAATCGCTTCAGCGGTTATAAAGCATTGGTGATTATTTCTTTTATTTATTTTTTAACAAGAAATATATTATAGCAGGTTTCTAGAACGCTTAAGTTGCGTAGTTGAGCTTGAAATCTTTTGTATATACATATTTATATATAGGGGAGATGGTGTTTTGCCAACGGAGCTTCACTTTATCCTTTCAAATTATATTGTGATTAGAACTTGTGCATTCTGTTCCGCGCATACCATCGGTGGGATTTTCGGTTTTCTATAAATTCGTACATTTATTTCGGTTAAAAATTGACTTTTGTCCTTCGTAGAAATATTTTATTTAACATGTCAGAATCCGTTGGTTCAAACGCTGCCATAAGAAGTCGGATGAGGAGATGTGATGATCTCCGAAACAGCTGTCACTTCTACCATTTTTCTTTGTTGTATAACAAAAAATATTCAACTCATACAAACAAGCCAATCCTTAAGTTTACTCAATACTTATATCAAAACTTATTTTATTTAATATTTGATTATTCTTCGTTTAACTCGTAATTCATTCACAATAACCAATTTTCATCAAAGTGTTATGTTATTTGTGAATATGAAGTAATTTCGTCTGAAATTCACTGAAATTAAGATATTCACTTGATTTAGGATGTTATTTGGTATAGTAAAAATAAATCCATTATTTCTGCAATAGGTGTCTTTAGTAAACTGATGGTGACTGGTGATAAAAAGTGGATCTTTTACACCAACATCAAATGAAAACAATTGTCTTCAAAGTGCAGTGCAATGGGCTCCAAGCTGGGATTGACTGCCAGCAAGTTTTAGTTTGGTGTTTGTTGGGATTAGCAAAAAATCATATACTATAAATTTAAACTTATTTCGAAATTATGCTATCAGCGTTCGGACACTCAAGAAGCATTCGGCCAGTAGTTCCTAGCTTTGGCCAACAGGAGGGTAATTATGTTTCATTGGGATAACGCCAGAGCACACACTACTATGCCAGCTGCCGATAGCTTGGTTGGAAAGTTCTTATGCATCCACCTTATAGTCTGGACCTCGCACCAGTTGGTTACCATCTATTTCAGTTTATGGCGTATAATTTGGCTGGTGAAGAAATAGTATAAATCGATTGCCCCAATTTTTAGCCATTAGAGGCCTTGATTTGCATGAGAGAGTCATAATGTCATTTCCTTTAAAATAGCATAGAGGTAACTAGCAAAGCGGAAAACGGAAGGAGAGCACACGACTAACATCTAAAATGTATAGATAATTATTAATTTAAATAAAAGATGGAGTTAATTTTTCTAATTGCCGTCGGCAACTCCTCCGAGTGTATTTCTGACATGAAGTAAAGACTTTTCATAAAAGACCAGCAGCCGTTCGGTGAGGGCTAAGTATAAACTGTACGTCCCTCGATTTGTTGAAAAAACATCAAGATGCACACTCCATCCACTGGGGAGGAGTTCGGCCGAAAATCACTTCAGCGGTTATAAAGCGCCAATTATATACTTACATATATATTGTTCCGCCTTTCTGGCTTACGAAATTTCAAAAATATATTTCAAATACTGAAGGTGTTTATGCTTGTGTTGTTCCAGATGAAAACCTTAAAAAATAAATAATATTAATTTGCCAACTTTTTTTTGCAAAACAAGAAAGAAAATTCTAAATTTAAGTATACTATACATTGAGGATAATGCTTTCTAGAGAAGAAAAAGAGATTTACCTATACCTTCCTTAGCAATATAATGCAATTAAAACTTTGAGAAAAACTTTTAAGTAGTAAAAGTTAGTTTTACAAGATTCAATTGATATGAAATGCAATATAAATATATATATACATTTTTGTAGAGAATATCTCCATAAATTGTTATTCTATTTGTAAATTATACTTAAAAGCTTCAAAAGCATATCCGGTTGTCAGCGCACTACTGACGCGTATTACCCAACGGCCCGCACGATTTCATATTTACATATATATTTTCATACAATATGTATCTCTTGCCAAACACGCTAACCGTCAGTGCAGCTGTCTGTCGGTGGTGTCGTCATTTCAAATATACATACATCACTCGCATAACCACAAACAGATGTAGGTAAGTCTGTGTGTGTGTGTGTATGGAATTGCACGTCATTTGCCGTTTTGTGGCAGAAAAAAAAGATCAAATAAAAAATGTATGTATATAAGGAAAAGCAAAGAGAAAACGCGTGCGAATAGTGTTATAATGAATATTATATACGAGTATGTACATATGTATGTATGTATGTATGTGTGGTAAGCACAGCTATGGCTAGCTCATAATTAAATCAAGTGTCCGTGCCACTCGTCTACGCGATATCATTACAAAAGTTCATAGATATCAAACCACCTCCCCGAACACTCAATGCAATAGTGCTTTAGTATGTTTGTATGTACGTGTATGTTTATTAGAGCGTTTACTGCGATCTAACACTCACTTCACGTTGCACTACAATTTGTTTTCCTCAAGGGTATCCGCAAAACTACTTACATATGTATGTATGTACATCTACACGTATGTATTTGTATTTTATTCTGCACGCACTCATAAACGTGTGCTTATTTATGTATGTATGTATATTTGTACAATATATATGCATGTATATAAGTTCATTGCTTAGCCGTAAACTTATTGTTCAATGAGCTGCGGCAAAATGCTAGCGAAATAAGTGTAATACAAATATATGTATATATGTTTCTTAGTTTAGTGAAAAGGACATAAGGAAAATTTAAACGATTTTGCAAGGTTTTAAAGCTAAATTTTTATTTCAGCTATTTAAATATTATATACTTCATTGAATTTTTGTTATTATTATTTTTATCAAAATCTAAACGATTTAATATTATATATTTTATTGAATTTATATTATTACTATTATTATTATTTTTCTTGTTAATTGTAAGTAAAATTACAATTATTAAATTTTTAACAATTTATAATCGGTTAGCATATTTATTTATTTTTTTTTTTTAGATTTCAGCCAAAAAAAAAGTTTCAATGTGAATACTCATTGGGTAGGGAAGCTGGTCTAGAATTTTGAAAAAATCGAACAATTTTTTTTATCTCAAAGGTGCTTTAAAGGGGGAACCGGGTATTGAACGCTGAAAATTGCATGATTTTTGGGACAGTGTTTTAGGTTGCCTTACGTTTTTGAAATAGGTCATAGATACACAAATCTTGCAAAAAAAAAATTTACTTTCACTTTATTTGATACTGTTAAGCAATAACAATTCGTATTTGTTTGTGGCACTTCTCGCTCGAAGAGTCTATTTTGTGAACACGATAGCGATCGTAGTTTTCATCTGAAACATAAAAACGAATACTTTTTTTGAACCTAAGATATTCAAAGAAATGTATAAAATTATTTATTTTATGACTGTTTATAAAAATTTTTGCGTTTTTCTGAAAAAATTTTAAGATAATTTATTGAAAAAAGTTTTTTTTATTGTAATTTTTTAGGTTCACGTAGAAGCCTACACTATTAGCTGTAAAAAAGGGTATCCCTTATGGAAATGCGATAATTACAACTTTTTTAATCATGTGCACAAAACAGAAAAACACTGTTTTGAGAAAATCGCGTTCAAAGTTCTCACATCCGCTTATCAGTCTCCTGAGCGCATTGTCTCTCAGCGGCCATTTCTGCGGAACGATTGGGAATTCGACTCTGAAATTTTGTGGAAATATTTCTGAATATATTTCTAATCGAATGAGATAAGTTTGAAAAAATCGATTTTTTTGACACTCTAA